GCGATGCCTGGGAAAACCTCCAGATCACAAAGTCTGGTGGTCTGGCCTCAAGGGCACCTTCCACAGGGACTGCAGGTGACCAAGTCCCGTGGTCTGGCCTTGAGGGCAACTTCCACAGGGACTGGTGATTCCCAGAAATGCTCTGGGTCACCAAGGCCTGTGGCCTGGCCTCGAGGGCCACTCCCACACGGAGTGAGGATGCCTCAGAGAAGCTCTGGGTCCCCAACTCCTGTGGCCTGGCCTCGAGGGATCTTGCTACAAAGAAATCTCTCGGAAATGCTTCAGGTCAGTAAGGAACGAGTTGGCTGCGAGGAGACTCCTCACAGCACCGCTCTGTCCCGTCCTGTCCAGACGCGTGCTCCGAGCACAGTGACGTGGCCGTGTCGCCGCCAACACCAAGATCACGGCGTGTCACAAAGGGCCTTGGACACCCTGCCCTGTTCCATCCCATCGACAACGGCCACTGTGTCACAAAGGGCTCTGTGACACACGGCCACGTGCCCTGGGGCCTCCCCCAGCATGGCCAAACTGCCCCAGGTTGGAAGGAATGCATTCCTTAAAGCATCTGAGACAGCTGGATGTGAAATTTAGGCACGGTTCCAAAAAGAAGCAAACACTCCCCTCATGTGCCTGCTCATGGCAGCAGAAGGAGTCCCCTCTGCTGCTGACACAGCCACAGCAGGAAGGGCATGGGGCCTCCACAGAAGCTGGCACGGCCTCCTTGGGAGACGTCCTGCTGCTGGTGGCCACCATAAACACAGGGTGGGTGACACAGAGGAGCAACGTGTGGGCAAGGGCACGATGCTGCTCTGACCCCTTTTGGCTGCACCAAAATCAGCAGCTCTGGCAACTCCCCGCCCAAAGAGACCTGCCACCGCCCTAAGTCCTGCCAGGGGTGGTGCTTGTCTCCTTCCCCAAAGACCTGCGCCCCTGGGGACTTCCCTGCCAGAGGGCAGTCAAAGCCAACAGGCATTGATGACTGTGCTCTTGCAGGGGGCTGTTGGGAGGAGCGTCTGCAGCAATTTGTGGCAATGCTTGGCATCTGTCAGAAGGCAGAAGTTGTGGTTCCTTGCTGGAATGATTTCTTCATGGAAGTGATTACCTGCAGCACAAAAATATCTTTGCTGTGAAGGCATAGAAGAATCTGGCATTTAATAATCTTGCATTCAAGAGAGCATTACTTCCCATTACTCAACACAGGGAGTTCAAAGAAGTGGCAAACTTTGCAGTTTACGTCATGTGCGAGGACCCGACAACGTCAAAGATTTGGAGTTTGCTTCCCCTCTCCAACCTGCAACTCATTTGCCTTCACACGGTCCATTGAGAGTCAATTTCAAAAACTAAACAGAAGCCAAAAACCTGGGCTGTGTTTGGTTTGCAACGGGTTTTCTGGTAAGGGACAAATATAGAAGTATTCTGGTAAGGGATAAAGGCTCTGAAGGAACAAAAGTTCCCTCAGTGTTCCAAAAGCACCCCAAACAAAGCAAGATATTGCAAAACACTAATATTCAAACCAGGGAAAATAAAATTACCCAAAAAAAATTGCCTAACTTTGAGCTCTAGAAGAAGAAAAGAGCATGGGGAAGGGGGCAAGGAGGAAAAGGGGTGGGAAACCAGGGGCAGTCTGCTCTGGCATGGGTAGAATGGGAAACATGAAGGGTTGGGGTGACAAGAGCGCTCTGGAAAAGAACAAGAAAAGAAACAAGGGAAGAAACACCCTTGCAAAAAAAGGCTGCAAGGTCTCAACCAGCCTGGGCACCATCCAGCTGCACTGGGGTCGTTCAAAGGACCACATTTAGGCATTGCAACCTCACTGGGACGATGTCAGCCAAGCAGTGCCACAGAGAAAGCAGGATTGCCTTGTTCCCTACCCACTTCAGCCCATTTTGCTGTGAACTTTGGAAAGCAATTCAAACTCTTGACATTCTGACTTTGTTAATAAAGTGCCATCAAAGCCCCCAAGAAATGCGCCCCAATACAAAGCCTGCACACCGAGTGTTGAAGACATTAATGAGCTGCAATTCATCATCATGGCTAGGCTTCGTGAACGAAGATTTGAGAAGGGCTCTACCCACGTTTGCTACAAGCACGCTGATGGCTAAAAAGGCCAATGTGAGATAGACAAGTCCGGTTGCAGAAGGTACAGCAGAAAGACTCCCCAGGTGATATCGACAAGACGCGATTCTTTCTGTGTTGTCTTTTCTCCTCGAGAGTGATCCTGCGTGTGTTCTCAAAAGCAGCAGCAGCGTTATAGATGGTGTGTCTCCAGGCCTCCCAGTTGGAGGCCAGGGTAGACCAGTGGTGGTGATCAATATGGCCAAGGCTGAGGGATTGTTTCAGGCAGTCCTTGGATCTCCTCTTCGGGCCTCCTCTCTTGCGGCAGCCAGTGGCAAGTTCCCCATAAAGCACGATCTTAGGGAGGCGATGGTCCTGCATCCTGGAGATGTGCCCTGCCCAGCACAGCTGAGTTCTCAGCAGCAGGGCCTCAATGCTTGGGACTGCTGCCTGTTCAAGGACAGATGTGTTGGTCACATAGTCAGTCCAGTGGATGTTTAGGATCGTACGGAGGCAGCGCTGATGGGAGCGTTCTAAGAGACGCAAGTGGTGCTGATAAATGACCCATGATTCAGATCCATATAAAAGAGTAGACAGCACGATGGCTCTGTAAACACTGTTCTTAGTACTTTTCTTCAGGTGTTTGTTTTGCCACACTCTTTTATGGAGTTTACCGAAAGCTCTGTATGCCTTTGCTAACCTGTTGTCAATTTCAGCATCAATCTTACCGTCTGAGGAGATGATGCTCCCCAGGTAATTAAACTGTTGGACTGATTTGAGTGCTGTTTCACCAATGGTGATATGGGGATGACGGAAGACTTCCTGAGGTGTAGGCTGATATAAAACTTCTGTCTTCTTCAAGCTGACTTCCAGACCAAACAGCTCAGCAGCCTCTGCAAAGCAGGATGTTAAACGCTGCAGAGCTACTTCTGTGTGGGCGATGAGGGCGGCATCATCAGCGTAAAGCAGCTCACAGACAAGATGATTTAAGGTCTTAGTGTGGGCCTTCAGTCGCCTTAGGTTGAAAAGGCTCCCATCGGTACGATATCGAATATAGACACCATTTTCATCATCAAGGTCTGCCGTGGCCCTTTGGAGCATCATGCTGAAGAAGATCGTGAATAAGGTTGGTGCGAGAACGCAGCCTTGCTTCACACCATTAGCTATTGGAAACGGCTCCAAAAGTGCGTCCCCATATCTGACTTGACCGCGCTGGTCCTCATGAAGCGAGGTGATCATTTTGAGGAACTTGGGAGGACATCCTAAACGTTCCAAAATCTGCCACAGACCTTTTCTACTCACAGTATCAAAAGCCTTGGTGCAATTAATGCCCAAGCGGCAGAGCTGTTGCAATAAAGTTTCCAAAGGCCAACCCAGTGCATCCCGGTGTGCTCCTCCGTGCGGGCGGCTGGGGCAGCGCTGCTCGGGGTCAGTGTTCTGGCAGTGCAGGTTCAGCCCTTGCCGGGAGATGCGAAGCAGGTGGGATGGAGCCTGGGGGCGGTGCGGAGGTTTGTGCCAGCCTTATCACCGGCTGGGTGTCCCCGCTAGGGTTCTCGGGGCGGGACGGGAGCGAGCCGAGCCGTGCACCCGCCCATGCTCAG